TGAATAGAATTGAATCCGTTTTTGCAGTGTTACTAAATCAATTTCTAATTATGAAAGAAGAGACTTTTACTGATTTGTACGAACAATATTTTGGATGGGAAATGTACTAAAATAATTATTTAGAAATTGCAATCAGTTTTAGCCTCACTCGTGAGAAATGATCAGTTTTTATCCGTTAGATGATAAGTGCATCCTGGGCTTTATCTTGTTCTAGGTTTTATTTGTGTGTGTTTGTGTTATTCTTTAGTTCTTTGCCCCCCGCCCCATCCTGCCCCCCTGGTAAATTCCATCTAGAACCACCCCTGACTAAATGCACCCTTCCTCTCCTGCCTTTCCAGCATGTTTTCTCCACTTGTTGCACCACAGAGTTGTGTGTTCGGTCCTCCGCTGCTTTATATTCAGACCTGTTTTTTTCTGCTCATTTCTGTGCTTAGGAAGCCTCAGGAGAGCGACGCTTCGTGTCCAGAAGGGGGCGCTGTGCCGTGGCAGAGAGTCACACTGATCCTGGAGCTGCTGCAACACAAGAAGAAGCTGAAGAGAGCCCAGGTGTTGGTGCCGGTTCTCTTCTCTTTGCTCTCCAGGTACCAAACGGCGGCTTTCCTAGTCCATCAAAGTTCCACTGAAACCCGACTGAATGTTAAAACTCCAGATAAACCGAAAAGCCTTTAAAATAAAGCAGTTTGATGTCGGAGTTTGAACAGAAATCCTTTAGAAAATGCAAAGGTAGCGACTGATGAAGGCTGTTTGTCTCGTCAGGAGTTTGGAGCCGTGTGCAGACGATCAGACAAACATGGAGTACACCAAGCAGCTGCTGCTCAGCTGTCTGCTAAACATCTGCAACAAGCTGTCCCCTGATGGCGGCCCCATGGCTGCAGGTGAGGAGGAGGAAGTGATCCTGGCCTAAAACTCGCTGCTCCTGTCTGATTGGGTTTTCTGTGTCCGCGCCCTGCAGAGGTCCTGGATGAGGAGAAGTTTAACGTGGAGCTGGTGGTTCAGGTGATCCGGTTGTCAGACATGCCTCAGACTCACCACCACGCCCTGCTGCTGCTGGCCGCCACCGCCTCCATCTTCCCCGTAAGCGGCGCCTCCTCTGGCGAGAGACAAACCGGTTTGAATAAATGACTCAGTGAGCTCCGTGTGTCGCCCCCTGCAGGATAAAGTCCTGCACAACATCATGCCCATCTTCACCTTCATGGGAGCCAACATCCTGCGGCTGGACGACGCCTACAGCTTCAGAGTCATAGAGAAGACCATGGCGACGGTCGTCCCGGCGTTGGTCCAGGTGAGCAGCTGCTGCGGGCGACGTCGCCTGCCGCCTTGAAACCATTCTCACGTGTCGGGACGTCCCCCCTCTTGCAGGCCCACCGGCTCTCCGACGGATCCTCCGCCCCTGCCATGGTTGCCGTGGTAACGAAGATCATGCACGTGTTCGCCGACGCTCTGCCCCATGTTCCTGAGCACCGGCGGCTGCCCGTCCTCGGACTGCTGGTGACCGCGCTGGGCCCCGCCCACTTCCTGTGGATCCTCCAGCTGCTGCTGCTGAAGCTGCACGCCACGCAGAGCGGCGAAGCCGGCGACAAGGTACCACAGGCTCCGCCCCTGCTTTAGGAGCTAATGCTACTTAGAAAAGCTTCTGCTGCTTCATCTCTGGTCCTCATTAAGGTCAGACGTCCAGTAAAATGAGTCCAGATGCTTCTGCTGCTCCTGTGTTCAGCTTCTCTGATTGGTTGATAATTTTTAAAACTCCAGCAGCTGCTGCTTGTGAAGCTTCAGATTCTCAGGAGCTCATGAGGCGCCGCTGCTCTAGATGCTGCAGGACCATTTTATGCGCATCAACTGTTGACTTTGCATGTAAAACGGCAGCTTCTGCTGCACACGTCGCATCTGGTGTGAGCGTAGCTTAATACTGCTACAGTTTTTCATGGTGGTCGGTGTCTGCGGTGCAGGACGCGGCTCTGGAGCGCGACATGGAGTTCTGGATCTCCCTCAGCTGTCAGTTCGACGTGAAGCAGCAGCTCAGCTCCGTCATCAACATCCTGAACTTCCTGCTGCAGCTGCCAGACGATAAAGAAGGTGAGAGCCGTCAACTCCAAATCCGCTCCCGTCTGAGTTCTGTCAGAAGCGTAACACCGGGGTTCTGCTGCAGCTCCGCCGAGGCGGCCAGTGGGTCGGCGAGGAGTCGGGAGGAAGCAGGACGAACCAGAGAGGACGGAGGAGCTGATCTTCAGCGTGGAAACTCACAGCAGCAAAGAGCTGCGGCACTTCAAGTTCCTCTGCGTGTCGTTCGTGGCTCAGCTGCTGGGCTCCAACACCTTCATCCAGAAGGTGGGAGAGAAGAAGCTGGAAGGTTGGGAGGAGTCAGGGGCAGTTTCTAAACATCTGCTCCGTTTTCAGGTCTCAGAGGAACCCGATGACAGCGGCGATGACAGCGGCGATGACGGCGGCGATGGCGGCGGCGCTTCCCTTCAGCAGCTGCAGCAGAGGTGAGTTCCCCTCAGAGCGCCGTCAGGCACAGCTGCAGGGAAGACGCTGAGTTTCTGTGTGCCGCAGGGTTCTGGAGGAGATCCTGCGCTACATCCAGTCTGTGGCTCGATGCGTGGAGGAGAACGCCGACCAACCCACCGCCAAGTTCTGGAGAGTTCTACTCAACAAGTCCTACGAAGTCCTGGACCGGGTGGGTCTACCTACTTCGCCACGCAGCCGAGCTGCTCGTACGGAGCCCTTCTGTTTCTAACTCTGCTCGCCGCCGCAGGTGAACGCCTTGCTGCCCACAGACACCTTCATCACGGTGATGAAGGGGCTGATGGGAAACCAGCTGCCGTCGGTGCGGAGGAAGGCCATGGAGCTCCTCAACAACAAGCTGCATCAGCGCCCGCAGTGGGATGATCAACAGGTGACCCGTCGTTGCCATAGAAACCGCTCTGTCGAGGGATTGTTCTGACGCCGCTTTGTTCCCTTCAGGTGTCGGCACTCCTACAGATGACCTCCGACCTCCTGGCCGTCGTTAGGAAGAGTCCTGGGAAGGAGTCTGAGGAGGCGGAGCAGGCCATCAACAGGCAGACCGCGCTCTACAGCCTCAAGCTGCTCTGTCGCAATTTTGGCTCCGCCCACCAGGAGGTGTTTGTTCCCGTGCTGCTGATGGTAGTGGACATCGTCACGACGACGAAGGAGGAGAAGAACGTTATCGGCAGCGCTCTGCTTTGTATCGCAGAGGTGGTCACTGAGCTCAAGGCGCTCGCCATCCCTCAGTTACCAAGGTAACGGCATCAGGTTACCCAGTCTGTGCTCTGGTGCCTCCACGGCACACTGCTCACCTGTTCCCTTGCTCACCTGTTCCTCCGCTCACCTGTTCCTCTGCTCACCTGTTCCTCCGCTCACCTGTTC